GGCCCCTCCTGGAGGTCTCCGCCTCCCCTCCCCCACGCGGGCGGGCGGGCAGCAGGCGCCCGGCGACAAGATGAGGCTGGGGCCTGCCTCCCGGAACCACCACTGAACACAGGTACGCAGGGGGCGCCAGAGAGGTGGGAGAAAGAGCTAGGAGCCCCCTGGACCCACAGTTCCGGGAGACACCCCGTGCCTTGGTTTCCCAGAGTTTTTTGTTTGTTTGGAGACCGGGTCTCACTCTGTCGCCCAGACTGGAATGCAGTGGGCGATCACAGCTTACTGCAACCTCCAACACACCTGAGCTCAAGCAATCCTCCTGCCTCAACTGGGACCACAGGCGCGCCACCACGCCCAGTTCATTGATTTCTCAAAGTTATAATGGCACAACTGACATGGATGCAGTCCCTGAAACCACATTTCTGTCGATGAGGACTTTCCTCAACTAGTGCCTTTTTTTAATCCCAAGAAGAAGACCTGAGAGTGCTCCCCAAACCAGGCTGGGATGTCTAGTTTGGCAGGCCCAGGACAGAACCCCAGGTCAGAAAGGCACTTGAGATTCGAGATGGTTTCCTCATCTTGTAAATGGGATGGAGGGAAATGCAGAGAGTTGCTATTAAGAGCCTGAGTAAAGAGCTCAGTCCTGTCTCACCGGCTCGGGGGGACCCAGGGCAGGAGGGGGCAGGGGTACCCTGAGAAAGCGAATGGGAGTCCTCCCGGCTCAAAGGATCTCCAGCCTTTGTGGGGGGTGGGCAGAGGGTCCAGGAGCAGCACTGGAGAGTTGAAAACAGACCGGAGCCTGGCCTGAAACTCCTGGAGCCTCAGTTCCCCTGTGAGTCAAGGAGTTGATGAGACTTTCTCACAGGGTTGCTGTGAGGATGAAACCACACACATGCTCGGCCCATGTCTGCAAGGCGCAGCGCATGCTTAATCCGCAGTGGCTGTGGGCTCCCGGCTGGTGTGGGGGCATCTCTGGGATGGGGTCCCTGACTCCACCCCTCCCACACACAGGGGCCAGCAACCCTGTGCGTCCCTGATGCCGCGCAGAGTCAGGCTACTTGGGTCTGGCCCTTGCTCATCCCTTCCTAGCTGTGTGACCCTGGGCCAGTCACTCCCTCCTCAGGCCCTCAGGTCCGTTATCTGTAAACTGTACTTCCTTGTTTGGCAGCAGAATCCTTTATTCAAGCCAAATCTTATTAGATATCAACATCGTATATGAGACAGATAAAAGTAGTTCATTAGCATAATCTTTAAAAGTCTAAAATGTTAACTTTCACATATAAAGTCAATAGATGAAAACGATAGTTCTACACAAAATCTGGGAAAACCATGACTGGAGCGGACAGGTGCAGCCACAGCACCCCCTGGTTTCCGAGCAGTACTGAGAAGCCCCTGGCAGATGTTCCCTTTCAGGGTCTGCACAAAAATGGGTCCATGAGGCAGCTCAAGGTACACCCTGAAGGTCTCCGGGGAAGGTCAAGGTTTGAGCTGTTATGATTTGAGGGCATGGGTGTTTTCTAATCATCTAAAATGTGAATCAAAGGTTTGTAAACGTGTGTGCCACCTCTCCAGAAGCCCAGGGCTCCCCAGAGCAGTACGAAGACCACTAGGCCCTGACCTGCCCCTGACTCTCCGCCCCCCCCACGCCAGCCATTGCCCAGAACACCCCTCAGCTCCAAGGAAAGGTGGTCACTAGCAGCTTCCCCCAAGGGCTCCCCCCACCCTTGGCCCCAGTCCCTCCCGCCTATACCCCCACGGGCTTTATGCCATCTGTCCCTGGCTGGGCACACCTGGGTACTGCAGGGGGATGTCAATCTTGGGCCCGATGACGTAGTGGCCCTCTTCTAGGGTGTGGGCTGTCACCGTCGTCCACTGGCGGCAGGAGTGGATGAGCAGGATGTCTCGCTCACTGACGCCCTCAGCGTACTCCCCTGGGAGGGAAAAGGGGGCCAGAGGAGGGGGAAACAGGCGGAGAATGTGAGGAGGGGCAGAAGGAACAGAGAGGGTGACCTCTTCAGCAAGACCCCCCCAGGCGCCCAGGGACAGCTCCCCAGATCCCTGTGCAGGTCAGCAATGCTCAGGGGGCAGGTGGGCTGCCAGCTGTGACCCGGGGCTGTGAGTCAGACTGTGAATCTCTCAGGGCTCTGACTTCCGAGGGCCCCTCATTCATCATTCAGTTGGAGTGCCTGCCAGCTCCGGCCCTGTGCTGGGGCTGGAGGGGTCCCCACGGATGAGCCCGGCCAGCCCCTGCCCTCTGAGAGCCCTCAGGCCCCGGGGGAGGTGGGAAGAGATGTGGCGGAGAACAGGCAAGTTTGAGACACTGAGGGGAAGGTGTCTCAGGACTCCCAGACGGCCTCGGGCTCTGGTAGGGGTGGGTGAGGAAGGGAGACATCACTGAGCAGAACTCTCAGCCCCCAAGCAGCACCTAGGCCCGGGAAGGCAGGCCAGGTCAGGGCAGGGAAGGGGCCGGGAAGGACTATTCCTTGTGGGTCCCAGCTGTGAGAGGTCCCCGGAGCCATGGGTCACTGGGTCAGGAGAATGGTGGGGCTTAGAGGAGCTGAATCCCGGCTCTCTCCTTTCCGTCCACTGCCATGTCCAGCGGCCGTCAAAGGAGAGGGGAGACACCCCCAGAAGCCCCCAACCCCACCTCAGAGAAGCTGCTCCGTAGCGCTCTCCCCCAGCCAGCCCTGCATCCTCTCAGTCATGACGGCTGGGGGCTGGGAAGGCGGAGTGAGACTGCAGGAGGGGGAGCCAGGGGCTGAGGGAAGATGCACTGGGGCAGAGGTGTTGGGAGCTGGGAGGGGCCTGGGCCTGGAAGGCTCCAACCCCGGCAACGGTTTCCAGGGAGCAGGAGGAACCAGCTTCCAGGAGACTGAAGGGGCCGTCTCCTGGCTGCAGCTGGTGGGCAGGGTGGGGGCGGGGAGCGCCTCCTTCCCAGCCCCTCAGACACAACTTACTGCATTTCTGCCAACCAAATGGGAAATGGCATACTTCGATGGTTGGGGGCCCATGAAGTGTGTGCGTGTGGCATGTGTGTTGGGGGGGTGTTCAAGGCCTGCAGGGAAGGCCTGGCTCCCACCGTGTGCCCGTGTGTGTCTGTTTGTGTGTTGAGGGGCGGGGTGTTGTCGGAGCCTGCCTCGGAGACTCTTCACCTCCTGGGGCAGAAGATGCTCTCCTCCATCTCTGCCAACTCCTTTTAGAGCTTTTACAGCCTTCCCAGGCCCCAGCCTGCTTGTCCACAGGGACACATGCCACAGCTACACACCGGTAGCCATGGTCATGATCACCAGTAGCTGAACCACAATAGCCGGTGGCAGTGACAGGTGACTGTGTGCCAAGCGACACAGCTCAGTCTCATGGGCCCACTAAGAGGTCCCTCCCAAGTGCACGGGCACCCAGGGACCGTCAAGATCACACAATTTGGGTCACACACTTGCACCCGAATGGTGACCACAGCCACAGCCACACACTGTCACAAATGGACAGCTGGGTCATCACACCAGTTGTCTGTTCACTCAGCCATTGATTCATTCAATCCATAATGCTTGTTAGGTCATGACTGCAGCCAGGGGGGAAGATAATAAACTGACCATTATACAGTGAGGTGCACAGTAGGAGACTAGACAGCGAGGTGTCAGAGGAGGTCCTACGCAGATGAGGAGCTCAGAATAGTCGCCCAGGTCGGGGAGACGCCAAAGAGATCATGTGGGAAGTGGCCGGGAAGAGCCCAGGGCGCATCTCCCATTCACACGCAGACAGTCCTGCTGCTGCCACCGCCAGTCTCGGGATCGCAGGCTGACCATCTGGCGACACCCCGAGACCAGCACGCTGGACTGTCGGGCACCCCTGCCCGACGGCCGGCACGAACGCTCCCACAGAGCGCGCTCCCGGGACGCGCTGGCGCTCACCATGCCCACTCCTGCCGCTGCGGGGCCCCGCCGGGAAGAGAGGAGCCTGCGGCCGCGGGCCCCATTAGCATTCAGGGAAGCGAGTGTGCCAACGCGGGCCAAACCCCTATTCTTCTCACACACAAAACCCCCGGCCTGGCTGCCAGCCCCAGCTCCCGCCCCTCCCCCAGGCGAGCAGCCCCCCT